AAAAAACAGCGGAAAGTATGTGAAATCGAACAAGAAAAAAATAAATTCATGGTATAGATTTTCTGGTGCTCTCTGCCCAGACCTCATGGAATATCTTGAGCGCCTGAAAACCCTGTAAACAGAAATGATGCCCTTGCAGGCGTAATTGCACTTTTTAATCTCCCTTGAGGTGTGGTTTCTAATACAGACAGCTGTTTGCACTAACGATGATGCTTCTACGTTGAAATTCTATAACTTCTATGAGCACTGTAAAGAGTTACGGGTCTTGTTTTCCGACGCTCTATGGGCCAAAAAATCATTCTGAGTGGTAAGACTCTACCGTAGAATTTTGCATGCAAAGAGTGGTTGTATGAGCAAAAAATTCTATTTACAGCCTGCTCTTCTGTCATAAAACTGCTACTGGGATTTTGTTTTCCAAAATGAATAAAAAAACACTAATTTCTTTTGGTTATTCACTCTTTCTCTTTTTGAGTCATTACATCCTTTCTCTTGCTTCAAACGTGGCAACAATTAGAAGGATCAAGTAAAATATGTCATCGCAATATCAAAAAGTATGCATTAGTGAAGCTTAAAGATGAAGGCTAGAAATTACCCAGCCAAAAAACTATCAGGCTGGAAAATGAATTAATAGAATGCGGGAATCTATTTGCGACCAGAAATGAAAAGAATAGAGAATTTGGAGTGGCATGTTATTTCTTATTTAGATTCCTAGCCAGGAAATGACGTTGTTAAATAACCTATTTTCCCCTCTGCATTCAAGAAATGGGCAAAACAGAACCAACTACACCAGTTAGGAGAAGAACTGTAGTGAGTTAAAGCTTAAAAACACCACAGTTCTAGATTACGAAGAAGCCAATAGGGAACAATTAACCTGTTTATTCGAAAGAAGCGACTGCTTTTAAAGCACTTTATTCAAAACGATAAGAACCATAGCGGACGATCTTGATCAAAACACAATTGGTACCTATTCTTATTCAAAAAAGACAGTTCCAAGCTATTTGTATGCTGACACTATCAATTCTGTCACACAGCAGCTGAACAATTGATTATTGTAGAATTTTCCATTAGGAACTAACGATATCAAAAAGCTAGTAATGACGAACTTATATGAAACTGAGAAGGTAACCGTAGCGTGCGAAGAAAAGCATGGACAAAGTCCCCATTGTAAGACCAAGAGACTGCAATGAGAGGACAATCAAGGCGCTTCTACGGTTCTTCATTAAGGCGTCTTCCATGGTCTGTTTCATTTCGGGCATCTAGGATAATGAAATTAGGATAAATTGCTTGCAAATGTATTCCCTCTAAGTGATAAGATACAAAACCTCTAACACCACCGTTTACTGGAGCTCTTTTAACAAGTTTATATAAATGCATGTAAAGCTAACCATGCAGGCCAAAGCAATATAAAGAAACATCCCGCCAGAGAATCCAAAAATATACTTCAGGAATGACTCAACACTTCCTAGCAGTACACCAACGGCAAAACCAATAAAACACGTCACTGTACTCAAAAGATTATAAATTAAGGTCTGCTTAAGATTCATTCCAGAACTCAGCAGTATT